CAGACTCCTTAGTGTTAATCTTTAGAGACAAATCTCAAGTTTTCCTTCAGAGCTCCCTCATTGGCTTTGCCTCTAGTTTCCAGACTATTTATGTATATGTATGGAAATAGATGGGGGTGTCTCTGGCTTTATAGTCTGCTTATACCTCAGTCATTCATCTTGCCCCTGGTTAGCAGTCTATGGGGGCCATGTCTGCCGTCTTTCTGTCTTACCTCCAGGTATTCTCCAGGGCTCAGGCTCTCAATAACATGCTCAAGTGTTATCAGACATGATGATATGGCAGCTCTGAGCCCACTCAGCTGTGTCTCCTGCTGTTCCCTTGCCATAGCACGCTGGGCATGAGAATTGTGTGAGACTTCCTACTTCTTCAGATCTGACCTGGGAGGTGGACACGGTCGGAGTCAGGTACTCTTGACTGTTTATACAGGTACCTGACTAAACCTCCCTAAAGTTGTACTGTTTTCTGCCATGAAGAAACCCTTGACTCTATTTCTTTCTAATACTCCATGATTTCTCTATTGAGTAGGGACATATGTCATCCTTATGCTACTTTCTTTGATGTGGAAATTTATTTTATTTTATTTTTTTTTTTGCAGAACTGGGGATTGAACTCAGGCCCTTGCGCTTGCCAGGGAAGCGCTTATTCCACTGAGTCATCTCTCCAGCCCCAATGTGGAAATTTATAATGATTTGTAAATGTGTAAATGAAGGTCATTTTATATAGTTCCATCATTCTTTTTTTTTTTTTTTTTTTGGAACCGAGGATTGAACTCAGGTCTTTGTGCTTGCCAGGGAAGCACTTATTCCACTGAGCCATCTCCCCGGACCCAAATAGGCAGAAGGATTTTTTTTTCTCTGAATGCCTTCAGGGCAGGTTTGGCTGGCTTGAGTTGTGGGGATGGAACCTCAGCAACCTGAGCCTGACTGCTTTGTTGAAGCAGCCACTTAAAGAATTGAGCTAAGGGGCAGGCCCCCTATACAGTCCCATTATCATACCCTGGAAAACTTGCTCACATGTATTCGGGGGCATTTTTAAAAACTTTATTCTTTGTTAGTACATATTTGTCATACATATTGATCATATTCATCATAGGAAATTTGTACCTGTACAATATCTACAGCTATATCTATATCTATGTCTAGTCTTTTTGAGACTGGGTCTCACTATGTAAGCTCAGGCTGGCCTTGAGCTCACTTTGTAGCCCAGGCTGGTCTCTAACTCATAACAATCCTCCTGCCTCAGCCTTCTGAGTGCTGGGATTACAGGCGTGTACCACCATGCCTGCCCAGCACTGTGAATAATATATATCTTTATTTTCTTTTTTGTTATTTTATTTTTTAAAGAATACAAAATATATCTTCATTCTTCTTTTCTCCCATTCTCTTCCCTACCCTTCAACCCTTCCTCTATCCTTATTTACAAAATCTTGATTTGTACTTTTTTCTTCTATTCTCTTTTATTTCCTTTTCTTTTCCAGCCATTCTCCTTCGCCCCTCCCTAGTTCCTTTCCCACTTGAACATTCTCTTCCTACTTCCCAAAATCTATCATCCATTTTATTTTCATTTTTATTTTTCTTGTCTTTTTGAGACAAGATCTTACTCTGTAGTCCAGGCTGGCCTTGAGCTCACTTTGTAACCTAGGCTGGTCTCAAACTTGCAATGATCCTTCTGTTTCAGCCTCCCAAGTACTGGGATTACAGGTGTGAGCCCCCATGCCCAGCCTATCATTCATTTCAGTCCTTATTTATACTTTTGGTTTCTTACACAAGGAAAATAATGCAATATTTAATTATACGTGTCTGATTTATTTATAGATTATTTATATTTATTTATAGTTTCAAATGTATGGTCTCAAGGTACATCTATTTACCTCAAGTTTATTTTTCTTTATGGTAAAGTAGAACTCCATTATATATACAAATCACATTTACTTTCATCCTTTGATGGGCATCTGGGTTGTTTCCAAGTTTCGACTGTTACAAATCATGTTGTTATCATCATGGGTATGCATGTGTTGCTGTGGTATGATGCTTTTAACTCTCTTGGTAAGATATCAAGAAATGGAATAACTGGATCAAATGGAATCTCTACGTTTTGTTTTTTGAAGACTCTCCATACTGATATCCATGTTATTTTTTATTTGTTTTTTTTTTTAATATATTTAGTACAGGGTCTACAGGGTCTCACTACACAGATTGCACTCATAGTGATCCTCCTGTTTTCAGCCTCCCAAGCGCTGGGATTACAGATGTGTACCACTAAGCCCAGTCTTAGTTGCTTTCTCAGTGTGCCCCAGGGGTGGGGCCGGCATGGCATGCCGGGAATTGAACCCCGGTCCCTGCGCCTGCCTAAGCAGGCACTTTAATCTGTTGAGCTACCTGGCTGGTCCTCTGACTTTCATGTTAGTTGTACCAGTTATACTCCCACTAACAGTAGAAGAGCTAATTTTTTTTACCTATAGCCTCACCAGCATTTGTTATTGGTTTATTTCTTCATTTTCTTTTTCCCTTTTGTACCAAGAATTGAACTCAGGACCTTGCACTTGCCAGGCAGGCACTGTGCCACTGAGCTATATTGCCTTCTTTCTTTCTTTTTTCTTTTTGAGACAGAGTCTCACTATGCAGTTCAAGCTGACCTTGAGCTAGCTTTGTAGCCCAGGCTGGTCTCAAACTTGCAACAGTATCCTGCTGCCTCAGCTTCCTGAGTGCTGGAATTACAGGCATGCACCACCATGCCTGGGCCTATTGGTTTCTTTCTTGACGATAGCTATTAATACGTAACTATTGTGTCCTGAATTCTTCATAGTTTGGAATTCTCAAGTTTCAAAGCTTAAGATAAGGTATCTCAAAAGACATTTTCCCCAAGCCATCATCTCTGCTAAGTGTTTGCAAAGCTTCTTTGGAAGCCTGGTGGGGATTAGGATGGGGAAGTAAGCATTCGATTATTAGGCCTTTATACTGATCTCTTTACGTTTTTATGTTTGCAAGGCTTATCTTTTTTTTTGGTACCAGGGCTGGAACTAAGGACCTTGCGCTTGCCAGGCAGGTGCTTAAGCAACTGAGCTATCTCCCCAGCCCCTGTAAGGTTTATGTTTTTCACCTGATTATTGGGTTTATTGAAGGTGGAACTCTACTTATATTTTAACTTTAGGGAAGGACAATTTTTTTTGTTATTTTTTAAAAATGTCTTTAGTATAGGGGCCACAGTGTCTCACATTGTTTTTGTTTTTTTAAGACAAGGTCTTGCTATGCAGTTCAGACTGGCCTTGAACTGGCGGTTATCCAGTTGTCCTCTTGCTTCACCCACTCGAGTGTTGTGGTTCTAGGTGTGCACCACCACTCCAGGTTTGGAAAGGACAATGTTTTCTTTATCCTTGTAAATGTGTTTAGTATATAACACTGCAATTATTCACAGATCTTTAGCTTTGTATCTTCATAGCACATAACTGTGTTTCTAATATACAACATAGCAAACACTTAAATAATTGATTAATTTGCAGAATACACTTCTTAAAAAGAAATTAAACCTTTACAGCACTTTATCCTTATACGATTGCAAAAAAGCAACATGCACTCAAGAGGCTGGAGGACTGCAAGTTCCAGATGACAAAGAGACCCTATCACAAAACAAAACAAAATTAAACAAAAAGAGGAACATATATTATTGACTTGTAAAAGAATAACTACATGAACGTAAAAAAGGGGTTGAAATCTCTAAAAAAAAAAACCCATTCATGTATGGTTAAATATGGCCCTTTTTTTTTTTTCCTAACTTGACTTTTGCAATTTCAAGGCCAAGTTGGCAGGTCTGTTTTGGAAACTTAGCCCTCAAGGCCAAGGGGAACCCATTTTCCTCACCGTGGTCTGTTGCACCAGAGCCAGGAATGCCAGTGCCTTCCCATTTTAGAAAATGCAGCTGCTGGTTTCTAAACTATTCTAGACTCTCCAGCCTTCAGCGCCAACTGCTGAGGGTAAGGATGGGAGGCAGGGGAGGGAAAAGCCCGCTGTCGGGATAGCGCCTTACTGGCCAGGCTAGAGGTAAACCTATCAGTGGAGAGCACTTACACTTCCAGGATATACTCTGAGAAGTGAGAGGGGTAGAAAAATAATCTATCATGGTCTGAAAAGTTAGGGAAAACTTTGTAGTCCCGCCTGATGTGTCAAGTATGAGTTAATTTTATGCCATGTCATTGCTACTTCATTCAAATTACAAATACCTATTGAGTCTCTCCTAAATACAAATAATTATCTATCCCCCAAGAGATGAAATGCAAAGACATGTAAGACACAGGTCTTACTACCAGGAGAATGTGCCACAGATTTCTTCATTATTTTCTCATAGCCCACTAGCCATGTTGGTTTCCAACCTACAACTCCTCAATCACTCTCCATTTTCCATGGGACAGAGTAGAAATCACTTTGTCTGCTTACCAAGGCCCTTCATGATCCAGTTCTTGACTCTTTCCCCAGCCCTTTGCACATGTGCTCAGCTTTTTGGTGTATGTAAATAGACCATGACACCATATTCTCTTCTAACTTGGGCTGGGGGTTGAACTCCTACTTACCCTTTCACCATTTAATGGAAACATTACATTTCCTGTAATATATCCTGTGACTTTCCCCTTTTACCCCAGAGCCTTTCCTCTGTATTTCTTTATGCCTATCACTATTGCAGTTCTTAATGATATAAAATTAGAATTATTTCTTCCCAGTTTGTTTCTCCCATGTTGGGAAACATCCTGAAAAGTGGAACTGTATCCTTTCTTATTTATATTTCCTGGATATGCCATAATTAGTAATTAGTAAATATATTTATTAGTAACTAGTAAAATAAAATTAGTGTGATATTTCCTGGAATGCGGCATGATTAGTAATGATTTGGTGAGTGAACGAAGTGAATTTATTCATCACTTTTTCCTTTTTTTTGATATATCAACTGGTAAGATTTTAAAATTCTAATCTTCTTCTTCTCCAGAGTTACTCATCAATTCTTTTTTCAGAATGCTGTCTGAGGCATATCTCAGTGGACTTGCCTACTGGAATGATATCCACTGCAGTTGTACAGCTTACAATGAGCAGGTGACTGAAGAAAAGGAAGACGAGAGTTCTGTCGCTGCTCTTTCCTATTCCTCGGTGGATGAAACACAGGTCAGAAGTCTCTATGTGAGCTGCAAATCCTCTGGCAAGTTTCTCTCTCCAGTGCATTCCAGAGAGAGCCAACGGAGCATAAGTCAGCGAGTCACAGTGCTGCAGACAAACCCCAATCCTGCGTTTGAAATGCCAAACTTAGCCGCAGTTGAAATATACAGGGACCCTAGCAGAGAAACCTATTTAGTGCCACCTTCCTGCAAAAGTATTTGCAAGAATTATAATGACTTACAGATTGCAGGAGGCCAGGTGATGGCCATTAGCTCAGTGACAACTGATTTTCCCTCTGAGAGCAGTTTTGAATATGGTCCTTTGCTGAAGTCATCTGAGATCCCTTTGTCCATGGAGGAATCCCTTTCCACTCAGCTCAGCGACTTCCCCCAAAAGCCTATTCAGCGGCACTCATCCTACTGGAGAATAACCAGTATCAAAGAGAAAAGCAGCCTGCAAATGCAGAACCCTCTTTCAAATGCAGTGCTGAACGAATACCTGGAGCAGAAGGTGGTGGAGTTATATAAGCAGTACATTATGGACAACATGTTTCATGACAGTTCTCCTACCCAGATCCTGGCATCTGAACTCATCATGACTAATGTGGACCAAATTAGTCTTCACGTGTCCAGAGAGAGGAACCTGGAGACTTCAAAAGCCAGGGATATAGTCATCAACCGCCTGCTACAGTTAGTGTCCTCTGAGATCAGCACGCCTAGTCTCCATATTTCTCAGTATAGCAGTGTGAATCAGTAGAGACGATGCATGGCTCTGTACTTCCATTCCTCTCAGTTACTCAAATCCTAAGCAATGCTTTATTCACTTATCCTGAGAGTGTGCAGGGGGTTGTGAAAGGGAGTCGCGAGCTAGAGAAGCAAATGGTGCTGGGAAGTCAGATATAAATGAAAGAGAAATCTCAATATTCCCCATGATGAAGGAATATGGGAAGAGGAGCCAAAAGGGATGATTTCAAGGAGAATTCTGTACAGCAGTAAAGTACAAACAAAAATAGTCACAAAAGAAAAAGGAAAATAAAAATTGGGAAAAAACACAAATGAAATGAAATAATAAGTGCCAAAATAAACACTGTGGCAAATTTAAAAGGCCAAGTATTTCTGGACAGAATTATATGTATATATAGAATTATAACATATATATATATATATATATATATATATATATATATATATACAAAATAAATTCATCTGAACTGTTTCTTGTTGAGGGAAATGGACTTCAGAAGGTGTATATACTTAAGAGCACAGATAAGTTCAAACACGTTTTAAAGCATACGTATATGTATCGTTTCTCTATTCTGTGTCAGTAGCTCATTCAGATATACTTTACAAATATTAGAGCTGCAACAACTTGCAATTACGTTTTTATTTTTGAACGATCACTTAGCTATTGCTATAGTCACGCAATAGCCACTCAGCTTCCCCGATTCTGCCCTCTAGTGGAGATAAAGTTTTCTAAATGAAAAGGCACCACAGAGTGAAATTTAGTTCTATTTTGCTGTGCATGATTTTCTTAGCGGTATCAAGTTTTAAAGGTAATTATGAATATTATACTTTTTACCCATTTTCTTCTTCTTTTTCTTTATGATTTCTTGCCCTGGAACCAGTAAAAGCTCTTTCATATTCTCACAAGGAAGTTACAAATCCTTGGGTATCATGTACCAACTTCTGTACCATGTATCAGATTCATGAAGCTTCTAATTCTTTCCTTTAGCTTGGGACTTGGTGAACTATGGCTCATGGGCCAAGTCTACTGTGCTGCATGCTTTGAATGCTGGTGGGTTAAGGATGCATTTTCTATTTTTATATGTTTTAAAAAATTGGACAAATACCTAATTTATCAACCACAATAAAAATACATGAAATATGAAAGTAAAGAAAGATAAGACACAGATTAAATGAGACCTTGTTTTGACACCATTTCAAACAAATTAAAAATATTTATAAAAAAATAGAGAAAATATGACCCCTAGGTATTTGTTATAAAAGATTTATTTGTGATGGCAATAGAGTAGCTACATATCAGGGATTGAACTCAGAACCTTGTGCTTGCCAGGCAGGCACTTAAGCCACTGAGCTATCTCTCCAGTAACTACATTTTTAAAAATACTGCTCTGTTTTTCAGATCGTTCTGAAATATACAGATGTGAAATACAGTGTCTGGGTTTTTTTA